ACATATTTTGATATAAAAAATAAAATATCTTGTAAAATATTTAGTTTTCGATAATCTTACCGTAATACTTTTATATACAGAATAACGAGACAAATCAATTAATGTAAAAAAAAACAAATAATTGTGTAAAAAAATACATTGTAAATAATTATACATATACTTTTTCATAAAAACAGTTATTTTTCTATACTAATTTATTTATCTTATTATTCTGTACATAAAAGTATTATGGTAAGATTATCGAAAATTAAAAATTTTATGAGATATTTAATTTTTAATATCAAAATATGTCAGATTAAAATATAAAATAACTCAAAAAGTATTTAATGAAAAAATACTTAATTGTAGTGCTTTGAAAAGCTCTCGAGATAAGCTACAAGAATATGCAATAAAAATGGAGGATTCCATTTAAGAAAACATCGATCACATTGACTTGGCTTTAAAAAGATCATTAAAGATCAAGTCCATATTTTCATCATGTGTCCCCCTCTGAATCATACAACTTTTGTATAAAACATTTTTTTCCATCTTGCTTACTTTACGAGATATTTGCGTGTATTGATTAAAATGACTCACCTTGTTTATTACATTATTCATATATTTGTTTTTTATATTTAATGTTGTCAATAGTTGACATAATTTATTGACTAATAAAAATTCAAGAGATCTGTTAGTAAATGTTATAAGAATTTCCGTAATTTGCATTTCTTCTTTTCGATCCCAGACATGACCATCAATATTGTTATCTCTCCAAAAAGATAAATGCTCAATAGACATCGTGAATATTGAATGTGTAGAATCTTTATCTCTAAGGCGGTGTAGTACTTCCTGCGCAATATCATCTAGCCATGTTTTTATGACTGAGCAAGACAAACGTGGTATAAAATATTGCGCTGTGATAGTAAGTAACTCTTCTAAAGATAAAAGTGACGTTTAGGGGATGCAGCCCCGGTGACCTTGACCTTGACATATGTTGTCAAGATCACCCTCCTCAGTGACCTTCAGAAGGTTTTAACCGTCGCTCGTTTGTCATTAAAAAGTTATTAACTAAAATATTATTTATTGAATGTGTTTAGTACTAATACATTTTCACATCTTAGACACGTTATTTCGCCACGAACAACTTTCTTCTCAAACAAAAAATTCCACAAAGAATCAAAATTGTATGTCAAATTGATAACTCCGTGCAAATGCATGTTAAAAATTAAGGAAATCTTGAAATTATCCAACTGACTGATACACGACTATATGGCATACTGAGACTGGTGATGTAGATACGTGTTATATACAAACATTCATTACATTATTCCCAAACACTGATTTGTTTTGATTTCTTTTGATATTCTTATTTAGTATGTTACTCACTATACATATATTGTTTATATGGCAGTCGACATGAATTACCAAGCTTATATTTTAAAAATAAAGAGAAATTAAATTAGAAATAGGTTTGGGTTAGGTTATTTCTTCTGGAAGTGGAGCCCCCCCCCCGTAGGGGGGGGCGGAACCCACTGTTTTATGCACACACTTTTTAATGCGAATGTTCCACATGGGTATACAACTTTTCACGCAAAGCGAGATTCAACTCATGTACAACCCATGTAGAATCTCACTTTGCTTTAAAAAGTGTATGCATTGTCACAGTAGATTCCGCCCCCCCTACGGGGGGGGGGGGCTCCACTATCAAAGAACTATACTGCGTTCACGGAGAGAACAACCTCGCTTTTCGTCCGGTTCGGTCAGAACCCGCCCGATCGACCGCCCATTTTGCCCCCTCTATGCTGTCAATATTGGTCTTGCAGCTTGCAGATCCGGCTAATTGACAATGGAGACCCGCGCATTCCTTAATGAGTTCCTCCAAACATTAGAAAGTTAATTGTCACATGCAGCGGTATAAAGTTTTTTACGAAATGGACAATAGTGCAATGGAAGAAGATACGGACATGCAAGTAGGCCCATTATCTCCTACGAAAAAAAAATAAAAAAGGCCAGGTAATTAAAGACAAATAAAAATTATTATTTTGTATTATCTCTGAAAATATAGCAGTTATTTAAGAAACCTAACCTAAAGAAATGCTTATTGTTCCTTGTTACATTTTCGTTTTTAATTTATTGTAGCTCGTTCACAAACGTGAATGTCTCCTCATTGTGAATTTGTACAAGGATTTGAAGGAAGAGAGTCCCGAAATTTGTAAAAAAGAAGCGTACGCAATATTATCCAAAAGGACGGGATTTGGAATATCTACTGTACAAAAAATCTTGCTGGAGTACGAGAGGACTGGCAATGTCACATCTCCGAATAAAAAGAAACCTCGTATCACCTGCAATCAAAAAGTCGACTAATGTGACAGAAATGCAATCAGAAGAAAAGTTCATGAATTTTACATGAACAAAGAATTGCCCACATTAGCGAAGGTTCTCCGAGCCGTGAATAACGACGAAAACCTACCAAATTTTAAGCGGACGAACTTTTGGAAATTGTTGAAGGACCTAAATTTTGTTTTTATTGGTCGACGTCGTAATAGCGTCCTTACAGAAAGGGATGATCTAATTTTGTGGCGGCGAAACTATCTGAGAGCCGTGAAAAAATTCCGAGAAGAGGGTCGGCCGATATATTATCTGGATGAAACTTGGGTAAATGCAGGTGACGTTTCTGCCAAGGTTTGGATTGATTCTAAAATCAATTCCAAGAAGGATGCGTTTCTTCGAGGACTGTCCACAGGCCCGTCTAATCCTACGGGGAAGGGCAAACGATTGATTGTCCTGCATATTGGTAGTACAGCCGGCTTCGTACCTAAAGGACTTTTATGTTTTGAATCTAAGAACAACACTGCGGATTACCACGATGAAATGAACGGCGACACATTTCTTGAGTGGTTTGAGAAAATTTTACCGTCGCTTGAAGATAACGCCGTTATCGTTATGGACAAGGCTCCATATTATTCTATGAAGTTGGAAAAAATACCGAACACTTCATGGAAAAAAGCGGCAATAATAGAATGGTTAGAGAACAAAAGCAAGACCGCTGATACAACAATGTTAAAGGTTGAGCTCCTGCTAATTGTTGATCTTATAAAGGACAATTATAATAAATATGTGATCGATGAGACAACAAAACTGTGCTCAGACTGCCTCCTTATCATTGTAAGCTTAACCCATCGAAATGGTATGGTCGATGGTGAAAGGATATGTAAAGAGCCACAACAATATGTTGAAGATCAACGACGTGAAAACACTACTCGAACAAGGAGTTGAGCGCGTGACAGCCGAACATTGGAATAATTTTGTTAGGCACATTATAGAAGAAGAGAAAAAATTCTGGGAAATCGATGAAATAGCGGATAGATGGATAGACAATATTCCACCATTAATAATTAATGTTGGCGGCGAAAGTGATTTTGACACTGATGACAGTGATTGATGGTCGATCACCGAGAAAAATAAATTATATTGTTTTTATGTTAAAAGCTTTATATTAAATAAAATTTATTTTATAAAAATAAAATTAATAAGTACATCTATTTATTTACAATAGTAATTTTAAATTTAATTATATAATTAAATTTTATTAATAATTTTTAGATTGCAAAAAGAAAAAATAAATATAATAGATATATCGCGATTTAATTAAAAAGAGTAATAAATTTCGATTAATAGAGAATAACTCAAGCTTTCAATATTATTACATTTCTTTCGAGTTTTATAGGCGAATCACATACGTGATACATTCGATATGCATACGGCATTGAAGTAACGCGCTGAAGTTTCTCACCTAATCCCCACTCCGCCCAAAGCTGCGCGAAGCGAGGTTGTTCTCTCCATGAACGCAGTATAGACACATTGGTTTGCGTTGAACCTCGCTTTGCGTGGAAAGTTGTAAACCCATGTGGAACCTCACTTTGCATTAAAAAGTGTATGCATAAAACAGTGGGTTCCGCCCCCCCCCCCCCTACAAGGGGGCTACACTTCCGAAAGAAATAACCTAACCCAAACCTATTTCTAATTTAATTTCTCTCTATCTTTAAAATATAAACTTGGTAATTTATGCTGTCTGCCATATAAACAACATATAGTGAGTAAGGGCCCGAGCACATAAAAAAACTTAAGCAGTAAACTTAAGACTTAAGAATTTCAACCATACGGAATTATTGCACAAATTTATCAATTTGACATACAATTTTGATTCTTTGTGGAATTTTTTGTGTGAGAAGAAAGTTGTTCGTGGCGAAATAACGTGTCCAAGATGTGAAAATGTATTAGTACTAAACACATTCATAAAATAATATTTTAGTTAATAACTTTTTAATAAAAAACGAGCGACGGCTAAAACCTTCTGAAGATCACTCAAGAGGGTGACCTTGACAATATATGTCAAGGTCAAAGTCATCGGGGCTGCATCCCCTAAACGTCACTTTTACCATAACTATTTTCAGTGTGCGATGTATCGTTAACGAGATATTTTGCAAAAACCATTTTCACAAAATTTTGACGAGCTGTAGCTCCAAAAATATCCATCTTACAGAAAAAAGTTTCAAATAAGAAAAGTGGGGAATTTTGTTCTCTACAAAAATTGTTACGATTATTTTTGTCGTAGGATCAACCGTTTATGAGATATTTGGCAAATACTAATTTCCAAAATGGCGGCTAGAGCATAACCCCCCCCCCCCCGCCAAACCAACTCTCATTTACGCTCAGGGGGCACCCCTGAACAATTTCCAGAAGGAAAATCATTTGCGTAAAATTATGCATTATGAACCTATGTTTTTATCTTTGGCGCCTGGACTACAGTTGCACCGATGTTATTTATGGCTTTAAGCAAGACTTAAAACATTTGTTTTGGTTTGTAATAATAACCAATATTATTTGGCTTTTGTTTTTAGACTATAAACTATAATTTAATCATTGATTTACTTATATTTAATAACATTTTTCTCCATTACTATAATGCATACCTAATCACTGATCAAATTTCGTCCCTTATTTTAGCAATCGTGTATGTGTGTAGTAAAACTACTATAATTTTAAGAATTTTGATTCTTAATTTTTTGAAATAGAAAATGCAATATAAAGTAGATTATTCATTCATTTAAATTAGCATGTTACACGTGGTATCAAAGTTTATCGGATGTACACATTTTAAATATTTAAATAAATCAAAGTAGATACGATTCGAGATAGAAAATGTAATACAAAATATATTATTCATTCCATTTAAATTAGCATGTTACACGTAGTATCACAATTTATAGGATATACGCATTTTGAATATTTAAATAGATCAAAATAGATACAATGATGAAAGAGTATATTTCAATGTTGCAATACGCACTTCTATTGTGTTTCAAGGAAATATTTTAGATTATATATATTGATTAAATTATAATATGTAAAACTATTATATCGTCGCAGATAAAAAATTAAAAAAACATTTTGAAGCTTGAAGTTAAAACTTTAATGTGCTATTGATAGTTTTTCTAATGTTTTCATTTCTAAAAAATGTAGGTTTAGTTTCAAACTCGTGTAACACGACCAAAAAAAATATATGCGGTTTATTTGTGTATAAGACATTAAAATCGAAAAATTGCAGCCGATCAAACAATTAATGTTCTGTGCCTTTTATGTTTGCAAAAATCATATTTGTTAACAGTTTTGCAACTATTTTGCGTTTGATGATATAATACAGAGTAATCGAGATGTTGTCTACCTTTAAAAATATTTTGTTTATCTTTAAAAAAATGTAGGACCAGTTTATGACATAACATATGTTATTTTCACGTAAATTGTTTTAAATCCTAACAAATATATATGAAGTACCTCCCCAAATAAAAAAAAAATTAATAATATATAAAAATGGTGAAATGAAATATACAATTTGACGGAGAACTCTTTAATATATCGGCCGTAGAAGTTCATGTGCTTGATTCTGGAACTAGAATATTGTTCGAAAACATCAATGCACTAATTATTGATGTAGAGAAAGAAATATGAGATGTACACTATCCCGTAAGCTATCCAATTTTTGGCCATACTACCCTTATAACTTTTTATGCCAAATATTGCAAAAAAACAATTTATGTAAACAAGTTAGGACAATCCCATTTAAAAAAATAAAAATCGGGTGATCTTAAAATAACTTCATGACCTTCATCCAAATCAAACCAATGGCAACATCTTATGCCACCTTCGAAACTTTTTAACTTATGTCTGAAAAGTCTTTTTTTTTAAACCATTTGATTTCCAGATATTCGGCTATATTAATTAAAATAAAACATCCTATATATATATATAAACATATACTTATAAATAAAATATATTGTCTATATTTAAAGTCCAGTATTTTAAAAGAAGCTAAACCCTTTCGTAAATAAACTGAAATTGAAATAAGGCTGTTACATAATTGTATGCAAGAAACTAATTTGCAATATTTTATATTATTTTATTCCAAAAAAAGTAGAAAATTAAAATACATAAAGAATTATATATATTGTATATCGCATACGTGCGCGGAGTAGTTGATCTTTTAACAAGCATTGGTATCACTCCTGATATTATAATGGGTCACTCCATTGACGAATTGATTTGTGGATATACTAATGGACATCCATGACGCTTAACGGCCGAAGAAACGATCATGTTGGCATATTATGTCGGCTTAATATTTTTTAACACAAAAATAATAGATGGCTTAATGGCTGCATTAATCTCGATTTCGAAACTATGAAAAATATGTATCCATTGGATATTGATGTAGCTTGTTACAATAATTCACATAATTCTATTGTGGATGGACCAACCAATTCTGTAAGAGCATTCATTGCTAAGCTGCAGATTTGTGAAAACGGTTAAATAGTATAAATAATATATCTATATGCTTATAATTATGTTTAATTTTAAATAAATGATAAAGTTTATTTCTATTTAGGCTGACAACATCTCTGCGAAAGAAATATCCTTCAGATGTATATCTTTTCATAGTCATTACGTCAAGCCCGCAAAAGTTAAACTTTTAGAATATTTGAATCAAATATTCACAATAAGCGTCTTTCCAAGTTCAAACAAATGCTTCGTAAAGCAAATTACATATAAAATATAAAATAAACAGCATATCATAATTTTATGGCTCTAGTTTATTCTTTCAGTTTTGACCTGTAACATATCCGGTTTAGTGTGATACGTATAATCCCAATCACGTGCATAGCTTTATCATTTATGTAAAATCAAAGTCTAATTTCTGCTTAATAACGATATCAGCTTAGAAGAGACAGTAACGTTTTTAAGTACACTTGCACATTTTTTGCTGTTGCTTTATTGTTAATACTGTTCTGTTTGCTATTTTGATAATAATGGATAAGAATACAATTAAACCAGACAAATCAATTCCGATGTTTTACGCTGAACAAAGTATATTTTTGACAGGCGCGACAGGATTTCTGGGCAAAGTACTCATCGAGAAGATACTGAGATTTTGCCCGGATATTCGAGAAATATTAATATTAATGCATTTGAAAAAAGGACTAAGCCTTAATGAAAGACTCGAAAAAATATTAAACTTACTTTTATATATAAGTTAGAAAGAGAAATGAACATTTCTTGCAGCACACACACTTACACACACGACACACGCGCGCGCGCACACACACAAACACACAATATTTTGTTAAAAATTGTTATATTAATAAATAAAATTTCTAAATAATTTTTATTCTAAAATGTTATTATAATAGAAAATTTATTTTCATAATTATACAATTGGAAAACGAGAAATAGAAGTATATGGGATAAAACATGGGGAAACGTTAAAAATATTAAATTGTAGGAAAAGTTGAAAAGCGTTTTACAATTTTTGCGTAAAAATATCTAAGCATTATGGCAAATTTTTCCATAAATATTGTATATACATATATTGCATTAAATTAATTTATAATATTAATTATTAGTTTCACATCAGAATTCATATGTTTTGTCGTGACCTATATTTATCTACTATTACTATTACATACGTGCGCGCTCCGTAAATATATACAGGGTGGCCCACGTAAGAGTTATAAGCTAATAACTCTCAAAATATTTGTCAAATCAAAAAATTGTTCATGAGAAAGTTTCATGTTTTCGAGGGGCCTTTTTAACTACGTAAACATGAAATTTCCCCCGCTCCCCCTCTAAAGGGGGAGGGGGTAACTTTAAAATTTTAAATAGAACCCTCCATTTTTTGTTGCACATTCTTGTAGCTTTTTAAAAAATACATTGTAAATACT